CGCCGAAAGCTCTATTGCGCCACGAAGTATCACCTCCAGATCCACGCCAACGGCAAAATCAACGGCACCTTGGAGAAGAACAGCGTCTTCAGTAAGTGCCCCCCAACCCCCTCCCCCAGGCTTCTCCCGGGGCCCGGCGAGGCGAGGCGAGGCGAGCAAGCCACTGCCCCTGGTCCCCATACCCCCCACGCCCTGCCCCGGCCAGCCTAGCTGGTGCCCCACGCATGGTAATTGCCAGCAAATGTCCGGGATTATTCCTGCCGGCCTTGCTTATTGGAAGGGAAGGAGGGAAGGAGGACAAAAAGTGTGCCGGCCTTCGAGCGCCTTGACATCCCGGGGCCCTCAAGGCGATTCACCAGTCGTCCTTAGGAGTGTGTGGCTAAAGGGAGCCAGAGGAGCAGCCGATCATAAGAGGCTGCTTGCTTTGAGGAATGGGCAGCGTATTATCAGGCATTCCAACTGAGAAACCCTAGGTGATGTTACCCAGGAGAGATTTCTCACCTATGGCGAGATTTACACACAGATCCCGACCGATCCTTAGGTGTTGCAGGCTGTCTCCCAGCACGCTCTCTCCTGGATGATTTTGCTAGAGTGTGATTGTTGTTGTTAAATCGATAAGTTGTGTCCGACTCTTCGTGACCCCATGGACCAGAGCACGCCAGGCCCTCCTATCTTCCACTGCCTCCCGGAGTTGTGTCAAATTCATGTTGGTCGCTTCGATGACACTGTCCACCCATCTCGTCCTCTTTCGTCCCCTTCTCCTCTTGCCTTCACACTTTCCCAACATCAGGGTCTTTTCCATGGAGATTTCTCTTCTCATGAGAGCTAGAGTGTGATGCGTTTTTACAACCCTCCAGATTTAAACTGGGCGGGGGTGTTTCTCTAGACTAGAGCGTAACTCCAGGTACTATTACGGTGGTGTAACGTATGGGGAGGGTGGAATATAGAGAGGAGGAACCTTAGTTATGAATAGATTAATATCAGAGCCTAGTGCTAGGCAAGCAGGTCTATGGATTCCCTTTTCATTAATATTAGTAAATATTAGTACATTTTTGGTGAATATGAACTACTCCTATGAAACCAAAAGTTGTCACACTCCAGACTTGCTCTGCAGCTAGAGATGCATGGAATAAAGTCAGGATGGGGAATAAAGTCAGATGCTCTTGGGCTGCAGCTTTTATCATATCTTGATTTTGGCTCAAGTGCACTGGAGTTGAAATCCAACATCTGGACGGCTACACTTTCCTTAATGAGGGTAAAAGATTTTGGCCTAAATAAATGGCAAGGCTGTTGAAAACTAAGGGATCCTGCATCTGGCCATGTGCAAAGTGTTGTCTCTGGTCAACGTGCACGCGGCCAATAGAAAGCTAGAGTGGTTGGCAGGGTTAAGTTGTCTGAGCCCTGATTCTCCTTTTAGGAACTGATCCATCGTGAGGGGGCATCTTTTATCACCCCCAAAAGCCCAGTCAGAGAGCCCAGGAGGTATTGCAAACTTCAAAGCAAAGTATCCGTTCGTTTGTTCATTCATAATTTCATTTGTTTAGTTAAGCAGCCTGTGGTTAAAGTTGTTCACCTGCCTCTTTTCAGTTATTACCGAATAGGGCTGGTGAATTCCTGGTTCATTCATGGTGGCTTCCTACAATAATTTTCTTCTGGTCCTTTGCATTGGCCCAATGCAAAGACAAGATGGGAAAGAAAACCTGATGGATGCTGTGTGCGTATGGAGGGTGACCTTGTGTTTTTGGAGTGTCTGGGATTAATGGGGCTAAATTTTCCTCTTTTGCCACTGGATTAGGTGAGTGGAGATATATACAGTGAGTTTGGAGACCAGCTTCTAAAGTTGCTCCCACACCAGGCTAGCCCCCCACCTGGATGGATAGAAACTAAAGGGCACAAAGGAGGAGGCTACCAAGAATTCAGAGCAAAGGAGATATTTTCAACCTTGCTTTCCCACAGAAGAAGGGGAGTACAGGGGCCACAGGACTTCCTCTCTGTAGTCAGCCTGGCTCTTGTGTCTGGGTGCCTAGAAATATTTACAGGGCTGAATAGCCCCTGCACAACTCTCTGCTTTGCCTAATTTCCCTACCAACCCATCCATCCCTGAGTGGGTTGGAGCATCAAGGAGGAAAGCTGCTCTCCGGAACTTACAGGAAGAAGAGAGTCACTTGGTTGATCTGTCTTGGAAGGTGTTATTTCTCAGGACTCTTTAGCCTCTTAGACACACTGGGTTTCTTTCTGGCGTTTGTGTGTGTGTGTGTTTGTGTTTCATTGTTATCAGCTAGTTAAGGAGGTTGTAAATAACATTTGACGATGGCTTTCACACTTCAGTCAGTTCATCTTAGCCTACTTGTTTGGTTTTCGAGTCCTTCCTATTCAACTTTGTTTGATTTGTGCTTAGTGGGAGTGAAGCTATTTAGGGTAAAGGAAATGATGCCACCTCCACTTCTTCTGAATGGAGTACACTGGCAAGATCTTAAGGAAATAGCACATAACAGAAACAGATTAACTGTGTTAAAAAGACAACAACCTTATTCTTCCCTGCAAAGGTGATGGATTCTTTACATAGTTGAAATAGAGGGTGAATTCACACATGCATCTTCACCACTTGATGTTCCTAACATCCAGGGCTCTTGTGCATGTTTGGGTAACAGTTATAACAAGCAGAACTTTGATCTCCACTGTTACCTTTTTAGAAAAGAAAAAGAACTGTTAATGGAAGCAATTCGCGGAGTCAGCTACAAATCCTCCAGTGAGACATAACTAACAGCACAACCTGACTACAGTTACACATTTTTATGGGTCAATGAGATGACTGATACTTTAACATTCATAATATCTGACAAAATCTGACACACACACACACATCTACAACTGTATTTGGCCAACTGGACTTCTACAGTGGGAATAGCCAAGTAAAGTTTTTGTAGTTGTTGGGGGAGGAACAGAAACTGCCCTTCTCAGACTTTGGTGTAAGATTAAATGTAGAGACTTTTCTAATCAGTTCGCTATCTTTCTGTGGGTCTTTTCTGCACCAAGATACATATCTATTTACCAAGACCAGATCTATGTAAACCTGGTTCTCTAATTACTTAAAGCAACCTTCAAAACCATTTAACCCAATCTCATGTGTGTAGGACACACTCTGCCGTTGTATTATAACCCAACGGTGCCATGTCCCTCTACAGTATGCTAACTCCACTTGGGTGTCTGCAGTCTTCAGAAATGAGAAGAGCCATAGATTTGCATGACTGAAAAAGGAATCTTCAAGAGTCAGTCTCTTGCTGTAAGATTTGAAGCAGCCAAATCTGAGGTATACCATCTCGACGTATGCCATGCAGTCCTTTAAGAAAATCTGATCTTGCAGGACACAAATACAAGAGTTGGTGATACCTTTATAGACCACTGAAAAAAGTCATCATACAGTCTGTGAGCTTTCATGGATCAGGACCATCCACTTCATCAGGTGTGTACGAATGTGAAGAATTTAAAGTCCAAAAGTTCTTTGCAAGTTGGATTTTGCCAGGCATGTCTTTCTAAGACATAAGTCAGGAAAGATACGAGCAACATTAGAGGCGTTGTTTTAAAGTCACAGCTGAGGCAGCTGTGGCTTGCACTGAGACATATCATTTGCTGAAAATCTGCTGTCGCAAAAGAGAGGTGGAGGGGAGAAAGCACAGCGGGGGGGGGAGAAGGTAGCCCCTACATCTTAAATTATTTTCCTCTTTTACGGACAAAGTCACATATGCAAGTACTCAGTGATTGCTACCTTAAGTGACTTGCAAGCGTAAAATAACTTAATGGATCAGACACCTCAAAAAGAGTTTTCATAACATTTAAACCACCATATTTTTCAATAATGGCATTCAAGTGTGTCATGACACAGTGATAAACATGCTGAGCAATTCTGTTATGCTGCCATGCTGGCAACCAATTTGTTCCAGTGTAATACCATGTGTTAGCCATCATATATTCCTTGCTTGAAGGAGGGAGGTGGAACACATTTCCAGATATGACATGGCTTCCCCAGCTGTCACCTCAATTTCCACAGGTTGAGTGTAGCACTCTTGTGAGAGAAAAGCCTATGCCATACAAGTTTCTATACATTCCCTGGCTCAAACTTCCCCACTTACCCTCTGGATGTCAAGAGTGGGCCAAGGGACATGGAAGGCCATGGCAGGGACAGTAGTGTGACCTCTGACCCTTTTTCTGCATGATCACACCTATGCAGGAAACTTAACACAAGATCCTAAATCATCTCAGAGAATATAGAGTAACTTAATTAAGTGCAAGTTAAAGAAGAAACAATGCCAGCCTTTTAAAAAAAACTGGCATCAAACACTCAAGGAGAATCTTAAAACCATTAGTGTTCCTTGGGACAATGCTGATAATGCTGCAAATTATTGAGTTCATTGGAAGAACATTTGCTGCCCAATGTGCCTGCACAGGACCCAGTGATGATGATGATGAAGTGCAAGTTCATGTACTAAGTTTGTCACTTTCAAAGCAATAACCCAAAATAGTTCTACAATAATTTTCTGGAATAATTTTCTGAAAGAGTGGGAGTGTAATATCTTTCTAAAGATTTGACAAAGTGCTTAAAGCATAAATAATATCTTGATCATGTAGATTTATAATTAAAACTTATATCTGTTATATGATGCCAGTCAGTGTTTTTATAATCTTGATTGACTGTTCCTAGTGTTTTATAAGAATAAGAAGCTAGAAAGAAGAAGCAAGCAAGCAAGTAAGCAAGCAAGATAGGGGACAGAGTCAGTCTGAAATTCACAGTTGGACATTATTTTTGTAACAGCAGGATCACAATTTTCCTCATTTCATGGTTGTCAGCCAAGAAAGTGTCTACAACCTCAGCATTACCTCATATAGCTAAATTTGAATATCTGTCATTTCTCCCTTTCCATCACAGCTGGATGGGAAATAAAGACTGAAGATCTGGTCGTCTTTTCTTGGGTTTTTTGTCCCTTCCCTATTGACATCCCTGTGTTCTTCCCATGCCTTTTGTAACACCATGTCAGGAAGAAGGTGGTAACCCTCCAAGGCAGTCTTCTGTCCTTTCCCCCCCATTTTCCAGAAAGCTGGTCCAAAAAACCTTGTCAATAACCCCAGTAGCCATGCACATGGTACGATGCCTGAATTTCTAGTGTCTGCCTGAATTTCAGGCAGCTTCAGAGGTGGGAGCTGCATCTGCTCCATCTTCCAACATCTTCCATCTTCCTTTCTGTGAAGCTGGAACTGGCTAAGATATAATTTCTGGTTTGGAACAAAGTCTATGCTGAGGCTGCCCAAAATGTGCTCCCTCCCAACTGTGTTAAAATGCACCCTTTGGCATGCAAATTCCAATTCTTTTTCTTCCTGTGATGAGGAAGCTTCATCACGTGGCCTTGCCTACAGATGGTACATTTCTCACTCCTGCTCCTGAGTCTATGCATCTGAGGAAGCTAGCTACAGTTCGTGAAAGTTCTTTGATAGTAAATTTTAGAACTTACCTTGATAGTAAGTTTTAAAAGGTGAAAATCTGGGGGCCGGTGTTCTGGAGAAGTCCTACTGCATGTAAACTGTGTAATTTGTATTGTTTTTCTTTTGCAGTACTTTTGCAGGGAAGCTCTCTCTCAACCACTCTTCCTCCCTGTGTGGCTATATACACAAATTGTGTTTTATATGCACATCCTGATTGCCTCCAACTTTCTGCTGATTTTTCATGTGGTAGGAAACCTGGAATAATTTCTGTTCTAATCCACAAAACAGCCCTGAGAAAGATGACAGGCATACCTTGACTTTATTGTTGCACCTGTCTGCGTTATGAGACATGCTCTTTGATGGGCTGAAACATTTCCTCTCTTGGAATCTGGCCTAGAGAGCCACATTGTTCTCTTCCCAAGGGAGCACAGACTTCCTAAATGACAGGCTGCTTTCATGGGTCCCACACTGGCTCTAAGATGCTACAACTACTCATCTTACTCCATTTTGTCCTCTGGAGACCTCAGTAAGAGTATTGTCTTGAAAAGGGCAGCTTTGTGGTTTGTTTCAATAAGTCAAGCACTCTTGTGTTCCTAAGAAAGGAATTAAAGGGGATTTAAACTTTTTATAGACCTATAGGATTAGGTGGACCTCTAGTTCAATGTCAGATCCTTCTTTTTTGAAACAGTTCAATCTCAATCAAACAGCTGGGGATTTACTAGTAATAGTTTGCTCCGAACAATTCCCATGTTCTTGCTTTCTTGCACGTTGACATTTTTGATCATCAGACTTTGATTAGGAGTTAAGGCGTAAATGCCAGCCCCTTGTGTGGTAGTGCTATTAAGCACAACATTTTCCAGATGGAGGAATCATTTATGTAACGTAATATTAGTAGCTTGGGAACAAGGAGAGACTTAAGTTAGGGTTAAAGATTCTTGCTCAGTTATGCATTCAGTTGATAGCCTTGGGCAAGTTATTTTCAGGTTTTTTCCTTTCAAATTTCATTTTGTATGAAAAAGAGGATCCTAATATTTGTGTTAAAAGCTTATGGGGAGAATGACTAGAATAAAGGTTACCTATCACACCTGTCCGATGCTATGCCACTTGCAAACTTTCTGGGTTGGAAGACAATGATTAGATGGTCAGTGATGGGACTTCCAGTTCCATTATAGAGCTGGGGAATGTTTCATACATGCAATCTGGTCTTCTGCCAATCTCAGGGCTACAGAGGTACAGAAAGTCACCAAATATATAGATGTGTCCTTGCAAAATTGACGGGAGCCACCTCCCAGTAAGCACCAAATAATGATGTCCAAGGTAAAAGTGCTCTGACATTTGTGACTTAAGAATTATAATGGTAATCATAAAAGATATAAGTGTCTTTAAACCCCTTGCTTTTCCTTTTCTAGGTATTCTAGAGATAACAGCAGTTGACGTTGGGATTGTGGCCATCAAAGGCTGCTTCTCTGGCAGGTACCTGGCCATGAACAAAAGAGGCAGACTTTATGCTTCAGTAAGTACTATTTCAAATAGAAGCATCTTGACTATGGTGATAAGAAGGAAGGTAAAGCTTTCCCCATAGGAGTTCTAAGCACTTTCAATGGGGATTTAAATGTTGTTCTAATCAAATCAGTGATTCATGTATTAAAATTGAACAAAAATATGTTGTTTGGTTTCTCCGGTTGAGGTGGGATGGGGGGGGGGGAAGGAGTAAGCAGTCAATACGAGAAGTCCCCTAGGTGAAATGTGAAGGCAAGAGTGAGGTACACTCATTTTGTTTCATGTATGTAAATTGTCATGGAAATGAGGTGTATTTTCTTTAATGTTAACACACAGAGAGAAAGAGAGAAAGGATATAGATGAATATTCATAGACTTGCATTTAGCCATTAGCTTAGATTGTAAGTAATTCTTTCAGATAAGTAAGTGTATAGGCGTAAGAAAGTCTACAGTTAGGATTAGAAAGTTTTTCAAAAGAAAAATCTTCAAGAGATGTCAGTGGGAGTCCCATTTGGGCAATGTAATGAATGAGCTCTCAGGGGAGTAAAGTAATTTGAGTTGAGATTTAACACCGGAGGTGCAGCACCAAAGCTGCTAACACCCTGAAAGAATGTGTGATGTTAAAGCATGTTTTTCTCTAACTTTTTGCAATTATACTTTTATACATTGATCTGGCTTTATCACGTGCATGATATATTTAACCCCTTCTGGAAACCAGAGAAGATTGGAGAGGTACTGCACTGCCAGCGTGGATGGATTAAATGGAATTTAAGTACACATTTTACTGCTTTGTTCCTTTGTGTGTGTTGTGAAGTCAATTCTGACTTACGACAACCCTTTTAAAGGTTTTTTTTTAATAAAATAGCTAGATATTACTCAGAAGTAGTTTATCATTCCCTTTTTTGGGAACATTCTGGAACTACGTTGCTTGTCCAAAGCCACACATGCTGCCTCTTCTGGGATGAACAGTGGGGAACAGATTCCGTTAAATACATGTAGCATGAATTGAATGAAATCCACTATGAAGACAGAGAATACATATGTGATAAATAAACAGCTGAATAAGCAACAAATGATTTCAGGGTAGGGGATGGGCAAATCTGTGAGAAAAAGAACAAACATTAACAGAAGGGAGAGGCAACTTTAGAACGTACAAGGGCTACTTCTAATCCCACTTTGAACTCGTGAGCCCCCTGTCCACTTTTCCAAAAGCGGAAGCAACTGGATGGCCACCTCTAGTTTTCTTGTAAGGCTCCTCCAGAACCTCAAAAGTTGGTAGGCAGTGATGGCTGAGATAGTCTGGAAATGAAGAATTGCTTTCCTTGGAGGTTTCTGGGCCTCAGTTTTGAACTAAGGAGGAGGGCTTAGGATCTCTGAGAGACCATATATACTCAAAGGCTGTAGTTTGCCCATACCAGTCTACAGCTAACAAGGATCCCTTAGGCAGAATGTGGCTCATGGCTGACTGCATTCATTACATTTTTATGCCCCCTGTTTGTGGGAAATTCAGAAAGGAGCACACATTCTAGAGGTTCCATGCTGTGCTTTTCAGGCCCACAGCCAGACATTTGGTCAAGAATCTAGAGGGGTAGAGTGAGTTTCTTATTTAGAATATACAGTACATCTCTCATTTCACCTAGGCCTGGCATTAATGCTTCTTGCACTCATGATGAGATGTTAAATCTGGTAGATTAGTTAGCCAGAGCTGAAGCCAATGGAGGCCTAATTGACTAGCATTTGCCCTTAAGTCTTAGATCTATTTATTCAAAATAATTAAGAATTACTTTGAATAGGTAGGGCTGGGGCTTAAGGGCTCATGCCTGACTGTGCCCTTGGATGTTCTCTCCTCTGTTGTGCTCTAAAACAGCCTGGGCCCCCTGAAAATTTGCACCAGAGGGTCCTCAAAGCCTCCAGTGCAGATTTTGGAGGAGAGCCCCTGCCCAGCTGATGAAATGTACTTTGCTCTCTGTTGCTTCTAGAGATGGACATGAACTGGCTGTTTGTGCCAGATTGTTTATTGGCTGAATAAACAGCAGTTTATTCAGCCAATACAGCCAGTTTGTTCAGCAGTTCAGCACTTCCCAGCCCTGCCTCCTCTGGCAGGCTGTCACTCAGAGACAACACCCAGAGGAGGTGGGGCAGGGAATGCCAAACACCTGTTTAGACAATAAATAAATCAGCACTGAACTGGCAGATTGTGCCCATCTCTAGTTGCTTCTTGTCTACCTCACAGGGCCGAAATCTGATGTGATGTCATAGCTAGGCCATTGGTCTTGGACTCAGGAGCTATGAATCATTATCCTCAGTCATGAAACTGACTGTGTGACCATGTCCAGTCAGGTGCTCTCAGCCTGATCTACCTCCTTGGTTTTGTGATGGTAAAGCAAGGGCTGGGGTAGGAAATTATGTAGGCCATCTTAACCACATTGGAAGAAATGAGGGAAATAAATGTGACTAAAATAATAATACAGTACTAGTTTAATGCTTTTTCTTAATCCCCCCACTAACATAAACTAACTATGTTTTTTGCACCTGCAAATAAAAATTGCAATCAATTAAGCCTTTTTTAAAAAACTAGTTCCCAAGTTCCAATTTCAACTGATGTCACAGCTAAGAGGTGCAGAAATATCTGTGTGAATTGTCCTTCCAGCAGTATTCCTTATTCCCTGCAGAAAACAGTCAATCTTCCACAGTAGTAGCAAAGTGTGGCTATTGCTTCAAGATCTCAAGATTCTCAAGAGCTGAATTTCTTGCTGCTACTCAAGATAAATCAAACACACAAAAATATTATATCAATTAAATACATTCCTGAAGTCTTCCACTACAGATCACAGGGTGGAGGCAAGTCTTAATTGTCGATGCTTTCTGCATATGACAAATGAACCTGCCAAGAAAAGTGTTAGTTGAGGATTTGCCCTAATTAACTTGTTGTCCATAATAAACATATTTTATTTATAAAAATAAAGATAAAAATGAGACCTCTTTGATGTACATCTCTATCTTCACCCTGTAGCACCAGTAGTTGCCTCCATCAGAATCCTCTGTGGATCACATGACATCACAAGTACTGTACAGTTATGCTCCCTGATGCCATCTGGAGCTTCTCCATCAGTAAGGATAGCAAATTCTTAATCAAAAAAGCTTTGTGTGCCTCTGAGCATAATGTGGAACTTTTCTTTCTGCAGTGTGGAATAACTTCATCAGCTGCCTACCCACCCATTTAGAGCTGAGAAATGAGATCTGCAAAGATCAGTAGCAGGACACACATTTTGCATACAAGGCTCAGAGACTCCAAATGTAATCTCAGGCATCTCCAGTTTAAAGGATCTGATAATCCCAGTGCTCTACACCAATCTTCCTCCATATTTGTTTCTCCTGCATTCTGTGCTCACCCCAATGCTGTTGCTGCTGCGATCAGCTTTGCTTTTTTTAATCCAAGCTGCTCAGATTCCTTTTGTGCCTAGTTAATTAAGATGCCTTTAAAATTACATTTTAACCTTAATTTTAAATTAATTTGGAGAAATATTATAGTGGGTCATCATTCTAATTGTGTATGGTCAAAATTAGGGCAAACATTAAAAGAATAGCCTAATTCATGAAAAAAAAATCTATCTTTCCCTGTCTCGTGGTGGAGCCATTCAAATCCATGTAACTCTAATTCACAAAATCTCTAAAAGCATAACACAGATAACAACAGAATGTATGCAGAAGTAATATTCTGTAAGAAGTAAAACAGCCATCCATAACAGAAAAAGAAGCAATTAAAACCCAGAAAACACTGAAGTGAGGAGTCAGCATTAAATACTCTATTATATCGCATTTAATGGTGCTCACTGAAGAACTTTCTGAAATTATTTATAGACAGGGTGCTACTAATAAAAAGGGCTTACAACTAATTTTTGATTCTCTTTGTGTGTGTCTCTGAGTAGTACTCAGGAGTATACATAGAGAGTTTTAGATTCAGGATGAAATAGTCTTACAGGTTCCCCCTCTTTAGGTGATAATGTATGTGACTTCCTTCAGAATGCTGTAAGGCCTGCTGCATTTGAAGGCTTCTTCTGTTGATTTTGCTTCCATAGTATGAATGTGTCTTCTTGTTATACATATGATATAAAAATATAAATTGAGAAAAATAAATACTCCAAAGATAGATAATAGAAATTAATTTGTACAATTGAGTCAGTCACCAACCTTGTTTCCCCATTCCAAAGGTTGACTAGGCCTTAAAAGCTTCTGATGTAGTAAGTCCTAAAGAACCATCAGAAGACCTTTTGCATCTATCAGTTTCCTGAGGAAGACCATCTTAAAATATTCTCTCACCTCTGTCAAGGTGTGGGGTGCCACTGAGCCTAAATCTGAACAGACAGTGATCTAGTTATAACAAAGGAACAATGTTGAAGTCTCTGCAGATCACCATAATTACATCTCTCTCTCTCTCTCTCTCTCTCTCTCTCTCTCTCTGTGTATGTGTTTGTAAACAGACCAGTGAATATGTGCGATCAGAAATTACCTGAGAAAGGACCATGGTTGTTATGGAGACCATAAAGTCCTCCCAAACAAATTGTCTTTGAAATTCCAATAGTACCTCAAAGATTACCTCAGGCAGGGAGGCCACTGGACAACAAGGCAGATAGTACACAAGCATAATCTCTATTTCTTCCCAAATACCAGCTTCAGAAACAGAGACTATAAATCTTACATAAGGTTCCTGGTCAAAACAATGGAATCATGGTAGACCACCACAATGTCGTCTCCGTATATTATTCAGCTTGTTTACCTGCTTGAAACCATAACCCAAATATAACTTCAATGTCTTACTAAAGGTAATTATTATTGGGGGGAGGGGGGAGAGGATTTGGAAGGATGAGATTTGCAACCCTAGTTCCATGATTAGTTGGGGTCCAGTTTACCCCCCTGGTGTAATGCCATGGTAAATATGGAAAATGGAATAATTTACTCCCTCTGCTGGGCTAACTTGGAATTTCCTAAAGCCTTTTTTCATCACTTTATGCTAGCTTAATTACGCTTGCATTTTTAGTGGTGTAGAAATCAGAGGTCTGTGTGGAGACCTGCAAAATAGAATAAGGAATATTTCCTTGGAAACATGGCATATTACAGAGGCACTGAACAGCCCTTATGTTGCAGTGCAGTCAGTGGCATTTAAGCATTTAACTGTATCTCTGAGGCATTGATTTCATTGGAATGTACACATGGCTAAGATTTTATCTATATGTAATGGATCTGGTGTGCTCACATGAGGCAGAGGCAAATGTTGAGTCACAGAAAAGCAAAAACTGTGTGGCACAGAATGTGTAACTGCAAGAATCTAGGGTTCTATAGGTTTAAAAAAACATTTATGATTAGAACATGTAAAACAGGTACATCAATCCTAAACACATTGAAGGTCAAAATCTCCCATCCAGGAAATGCCCATGGACACCCCCAGATTTCTGTCTCCAGTGGTTTATATTGGCTCTACCTTTATCCAGGGCACGTCACAAATGTCTTTGTACAATTATGCAAAGAACACTTTTGATGCATTTTATTAGACCCAACTCTACTCTCGTTGGTGTGGCATCATTAATTTGCAAGATATCAAATACAATGAGTAGCCTATCTAATAGATGCAAGTTTTCCTGTTGCAACTGACGCTTATTGTTCCTACTTTCCAGGAAACCTACAATGCGGAGTGTGAGTTTGTGGAAAGGATCCATGAGCTGGGCTACAATACTTATGCATCTCGCTTGTACCGGACAGTGCCCAATGGAGCGAGCAGCAAGCGCAAAGCTAGTGCTGAGAGACTTTGGTATGTCTCTATCAATGGCAAAGGACGACCTAGAAGAAGCTTCAAAACCCGCAGGACCCAGAAATCTTCTCTTTTTTTGCCTCGGGTGTTGGATAACAAAGACCATGATATGGTCCGACTGTTCCATACAAACGCTAAGTATAGGGAGAGTCTGCTAAAACGTCCAAGTAAGAACCAGAGAAGAAGGAGAGGACACTAGTGGACACTGTGGGTGGGCGAGAAGGGTAGATAGGATGGAGACTGGTAACAAGTCAGTATTCAGAGAGCTACTACATAACTATAAATAAAAATATGTGACCCATGTGGACTCAAGAGACTAATGGTGCAGTATGTATATATCTCTTAACTAGATATCCTGTGTACCGGATATACTGGCTAATAGATATTTTAGAATTTTAACCCATTGCTAAGAACATATCAGATAATAAACTGAAACATGTTCACATGTAAATGAAATTGATGAAATTATGATTTTGAGTATGTTTTCTCCTCTTCTTCAGTGAACAATTTTTTCTCCCAGTAACCTGAGATATCACCAGCTACAGCAATGTTTTGCTGAAAAGGTATTGGTAAACAGTGTAAGGATCCTAGGACTAAGAGGTGAGGTCAAAGAAATGTTGTGGCCCTTAAAAGAAGTTGCAGCCCCACCCATATTACACCTTCCTTTTATTGTATCATATAAAATGTAAGGCCCACTCTACCAAAGTGACCAAGTCAAGTGGTAAATGCTGGGGCAGTGGGAGTGCTAGTGTAATGTTGCAGAACCCAGGCATATATGCCACAGGATGTGTCCTGTGCCTTCTCAGGTGTGGTCTGACTTGCTACTAGTGCTGAAATAAAATCATACTGCCAACTCTCTATGTACAATAGGGAAGGCAACTCACCTTTTGCCTTGGAAAGGAAAATGTCTGGGATCAGCCCTAAGAGGATTAGTCATGTTTCCTGCTCGGAATTAAAGTGATTGCCTGTAATCTTTACAGTCACTGGCTTTGAAATGATTGAAATAGTAATTATCTTTGTTTTATGATATCACATGAGGCAAGGTGATTGTAATCAGCATGGCTAAGAAAATATGTAATACTGAAAATCTTCAGTTTTGCTTTTCTCTTCATGAGGAGATACATTCCCCCCCCCATGAGGGATGACATCGTTATCAGAGAAAATTAGTGCTGAGAAAAGTAACAGACAGCTGTTTGTTTGCCACATAGGCAGTGATTTGTTTTTTAGTCTGAAGATGCCTTCAAACATATTAATTGAAACTGGAATAGTACAAGTCATATTGACTAGAACTAGGTAATCAAGACATTCCAGACAGAAGATTTAGCAACAGACAGAGGAAGTAGTAGGAAGGGATTTTTTTTAATGTACACAAACACCTCCAACTGGGTTACTTTACCTTAAAAGAGTGACGTCCAAAAAGACCTTCAATTAAGTTGTCCCTTGCTTTCATCCCAGTCAGTGCCATCAAAAGAGATTGAAATAAATGCTTCAGAACCATGGTAATATCTCCTGTTGATGACTGTGGGTTTTATTTTTATTTATTTATTTATTTATTTTGGAATAAGTAGCTACCTAACACTGATTGAACACTACCACCTAATGTTACGGCCACCAAACTCTGAGATAATTTTGGGGAGAGACCTTGACTACTGAAAAAGTATGGTATTTGGGACCTAACTATACATACTATGAGAAAATTGTGTAACAGGGTCCTGACAATGTTCAGACAGCTTTTGTGGAGTTTGTTTTTGCATGGAGATGCAGAAGTCTTGGCCCTCATCTCTGCCTGAATTCTTTCTCTCTCCCCAGCATTATTGCTTTGCTCCTCCTGCCTTGTTATGTAGCTGGTCCCTAAAAACATTGCCATAAGCATTTGGAGAAGCTTGAACTTGAAAATCTGTTCTGTGCTTTTCCAAATCTTTTTAAGCCCACTTGCTTGCCATGCTGCATTAAGTCATATTTGATGCACTTCATGACAGATGCCCCAATGACTAGTCTTACCCAAGCATGCCTTTAGTGCTGCAAACTGTTGTTCTTACGTATGAACAACACTGCAGGAATTTCTAAAAGGACAGAGACTGATGCTACTTGCATATCACAGCTATGCTATAACTCATTCTATCCCCATATGTTTCCACCATTATGGAGTAAGTGTGACTAAATGTCTGGCTTTAGCATTTCAAGAAAAAGACAGGATGAATGAAGCGACTGATTCAAAGGGCCAAGTGAAAATATTTATATGTATTCCTAAATATAGTTTAAGAATTAAAAGCCCACTGGACTATGTTTCCTTAATACAGTAGTTAATTCACAAGTTCAGAAAAACTGTGTATGCTGGTATTCAGTGTTCAGTTTCTACATCCCAGATACAATGTACAAAAATGTAGGGCTGGTTAAGAGGCTTTGTGATCAAAAAGGATAGAAAAGCTCTCACTTGTAGAAACTCCAGCTCCTCTCTGTCGTAGACTGAGTCTTCAACTAGAAAGCTTCTAATTTTGAGGCATCGTCTGTGGAACTCCCTGGACCTCTGCTTGTTCTTCGGCCTCAGAACCTTCCTGTGTCATAGAGAATAAAATAGGAATCTTTATGGCTGATAGGTAGTGTGAAGCCTTTAGACTGGCCAGGTCTTGCATAAACAAAACATGCTAAAAGTAAGAGATGTTCAACAGTGGAACTGCTATTCAAGTGATGGCTGGCCTCCTTTGGTTAAGATATTTAAATGAAAGGTTGCATCTATTTGTTAGAAATATTGTTATTGCACTCTGCATTGTCAGTCCTGCATTGAGTCTGTACACCCAACCCTGTGTTTGGCAAGATCAATTGCTTCTAAACTATGGCCTCCCAGATTCCCTGACTATGCTGGCAGAAGTAGTCTTGGAGTGGACATCCAAAACATCTGGAGGGCCAAAGGCTGAGCATCACACAACTTGGTCATGTGCATGGCACCTTCAAACTACTCTAGGAACATTGCTTATTGTTGCTGGCTGGTGGAAAGAACATCACATGGTATGTATTATACTTCAGGCTCCAGGCCAGGCTTTGACTCTGGTTATAACTCAAAACTCACAGCTTCAGTATCTTTCCTGAAGTCCAGACTTGCTTGTGGACCTGCAGTTCCAGCCTGACCCTGATGGCATCACAGGATACAGGGGATATGTTAGATCAGGATGTAGAATCTAAGGTCAGCAGTGTTGTGAACAACAGACAAAAAAGGTCATGTCTTAGACTGTTTGTGTTTAGAAAAATCTGGCAACTCAGTAAGAATCAGGGGAAATCAGGGCTGAAAATGTATACTGCTTTTAAACTAAATTTAAGTACTGTATCCTGTGAATCATCTGACACCTAGGGTTGAAAAACAAGTGTTGTTCCAAAGAAATATGAACAAAACTGTACTGAACCAGCTTTAATAAGGATGCAATTTTATGCTTTTCTAGTTTTCTCCATTCAACCTATCTATTTCCACTTTTTCCCTTCTCTTTTCATTTTCCACTAGTAAAACTTTCTATTCAGAAACACATTAGATGCTTAAAACTTTTCCCCCCCTGGAGAGCGGGGGAGAGAAAAGCTATTTAAAACAGGCCTTTGAAATTTCAGCAAAGCTCAAGTTCAAATGTCTCCTGTTTCCTTTTGGAAGATGTGATGGATTTGGGAAGGTGAACAAGCAAAAGCTATAATTAAGGAACAGTTGATGGGAACTATACCGTCCTGGTGAGCATTCTCAGGCCATGTCCAAATACAGGCTGCAAAAGAAAACCTTAACCCATTTTAGGTTTACAATGGCTTAGATGCCTTCATTGCAAAGCAGAAAGGAAGCTCTTCTGAAATTTTGGGGATCTCACTGTGAGGCGACAAGCCACCTCGCCCAGGATCAGGAGAGTGTGCCGTCCGCTTCTCAAGAAGCCCAAGAGACAGGTGTGAACAGAAAAGGAATTAAGTAAACTAGAAATAAAAGAAGAGGCTAAAGGGGGTGCAAATCAGGTGGGAAAGGAAGAGGATAAGAAGAAGGGAGAAGGAGGGGAGGAGGCAGAAGCATGTTGGGGAAGAGAGGAGAAAGGAGAGCAAAAGGAAGATCTGGTAGAATTGATCCAGGAAGATCCTTGGACAGGAGAGTGGGTAGAGTTCAAGGTGCCTCGTGAGTACGCTGAAAGGGAATGGAGGCGACAAATGTATAGAAAGCCACCATGCTGGGGCAAGACTGAAGAGCGAAAGCAAAGGAAGGAATATAGAGTGTGGGTGAAGAGAGAAGAAAAAAGAAAGACAAAAATGTATGAGGATTCCTGAGAATTCCCATGGGCCCAGCCCCTTCAAACCCCAACAGAGAAAGATACGTGGCTCGACAAATGGGGGACTGCAGGGAACTACAATGTCCCAGCTAAAAACTTGAAGTGGGCTGAGAACACACCAGAGTTGATGTGCCTGGCCCAAATGGACCCAAGAAATTAACAATTGTTCCCCGTTGTCTTACTATGAAGAGATACCCAGTTTTAATAATGTAAAGACTTATGATTTGTTCTTGAAGTTGGATGATGACAAACAAGACCAAAAAAATCAAAGAAGGCATGTTAAATAATAAACCAGTTTTATTAGAAGATTTGCAGAGGATGTGGTATTGCTGTGGGTTAAACCGCAGAAGCCTCTGTGCTGCAAGGTCAGAAGACCTGCAGTCGTAAGACTGAATCCATGCGTGAGCTCCCATCGCTTGTCCCACTCCCACCAACCTAGCAGTTCAAAAGCATGTAAAATTCGAGTAGATAAATAGGTACCACCGCGGTAGGAAGGTTGCACTGGCCACGTGACCACGGAAGATTGCATTCAGACAAACGCTAGCTCTATGGGTTGGAAACAGAGATGAGCACCACTCCCTAGAGTCAGACACAACTGGACAAATTGTCAAGGGGAACCTTTACCTTTACCTATTAGAAGACGTGGGTGTGACAAATTCTTCTTTGGACAAAGTAGAGAAAAGGCAGGTAGATGACAAGCAGCACAATCACACTCACTGCAAGGGAAATTCTTTATTCATCTTTATTTGTGGGATGTGGCCATTTAAAATGTATCATTGAAGAAGTCACATATTCTTGATTTCATTCTTCCTTGTCCTTTGTCCATCAGTATGACACTTGGAATGATACTGGAGTCTAGATTCCTGGATGATTCAAGGTGGATGCAAGAATAGCGTGCAGTTATTCTATCCCCCAT